TAAGCTTACTTCCTCGCGCGTGGAAGGAGCCTATACAAAGATTAAGAAGGAACTTCGGAGCTTAACCGGCGATATTCTTGTAGTAATACAGGGAGTCTCTCGAGTCGTTTCCTATATAAATTAGCAGGCTTTCTACTTAATCTAATCCTAAATCCATCGATACCTAGTCTCCTTTCAAGTCCTATTATTACGTGATCTCCTTAGCCAGATCTCTTATAACGCAATTCGAAAGGTCAAAATCGCCTAGGATCAATATCTCCGTATAGGGAAGGCACTACCCCCTTGCACTAATTACTAATCGCGCTTAATTAGTATCCTATATAATTATATGATTAAAGATCTCTTCGAAAAGGGTAATCCTCTTCTCTAATCTTACTTTAACTAACAACACTAGCTACACCTTCTAAATCTTCGGACGAATCAGGCAAATCAGGCAAATCAGGCAAATCAGGCAAATCAGGCAAATCAGGTAAATCAGGCAAATCGGAAGGCAGGAAGAGGGCTTCGTATCAAAGAACCGAATCGTGTAAAAGGGATTAGGCGGCCGAAGTTACTAGAGACTGTTAAGCGTTTTCAAAGATAGGGAGGAAAGTATATCACCGGTCGGAACTCTAGGGTAAAGAGAAGCAGAAATACCTACGTTTCTATAGATAAAACCATAGGAATTGTGGTACTACTGCCTTCAAAGAGGCCCGATATATCGACAAGGTAAATGCCTTCGAACTGGGAGAAGAAACTTAGGCAAGGGGGTGGCGCGCGCGGTCGCAAGGCAAAGAGATTAGTGCTGGTAGAAAAGGATAGGGAGAGACAGGCAAGGCAGATTAGTAAGTAGCGATTTGGCCAGAAACCTAAGGTATAGATAGGTTATATGATTAGCCTAGTAGGATAGATTTTAAATTCGATTTGTGTGGGTCATGTGATCTCTTGTGTATGAATAGCCTTAGGAAGGAGAGGATAGGTAGTCACGTGGTTATATGAGTATCCTAGCAGGAAGAAGATAGAAGGGAAGGGGGGGATTCTATGTGTAAATAAGAAGAGATACGTAGTTGAATTCGTATTAAACCGTTCTGACGGCCTTGGCAGGAATCAGGCAATAATGCAGAAATCAGGCCGAAATCAGGCCGAAATCAGGCCGAAATCAGGCCTCAGGGTGTGCCGCTAGTTTTCCCAGGGGGTATGAACAGCATTACCCTTTAAATATAGCTTATACAGACAAAGATTTAAGCCCTACGTATCGTTATTTCGGATAACGCAGACTCTCTTTTAAATACATGTGGGCGAGTCTTCAAGGATAGTTTGGGCCTACTTTGTCTCTGGTATATCATGAAGAATATTGAGACTCGAGTTCGGCCGTTGATTTTAAAAAAATTACTCCTATAGGGCCTTCCTAATCAGGAAGTTTAGACGAAAACTATCTAATTATAGCGAAATGCGAAGGCTAAATTCATATAGATTGTCCTAGAAGGGATAGAAGATAGGATAGAAGCTAGGAAGGCCTCTTTTCTAGAAGACCTAAGCGATCCTATCTACTAATCGGCTATTGAATATATCGAAAAGTAGTGGTTTAGAGAGAGGGTAAAGCGCTTTATACGCTGTTATCTTAATGGAATTCTCTATTACGATAAGCTTACTTCTTTACGCGTGGAAGGTGCCTATACAAAGATTAAGAAGGAACTTCGGAGCTCAACCGGCGATATTCTTGTAGTAATAGAGGGAGTCTCTCGAGTCGTTTCTTATACAAATTCGTAGGCTTTTTACTTAATTTAATCCTAAATCTATCGCAAGCCTGTCTCTCTTCAAGTCCTATTATTCTACGATATTCTTGGCCAGGTTTCAACTAGCGCAATTCGAAAGGTATATAATACCTAGGGTGAATATCTTCGAGCAGATAAGCTACTACCCCCTTGTACCTAATACTAATCGCGCTCACTTGGTCTTCTATGCAATTATGTGATTAAAGATCTCTTCGAAAAGGGCAATCCTCTTCTCTAATCTTATTTCGACTAACAACACTAGCTACGCCTACTAAATCTTCGGTATAATCAGGCAATCGTTAGGACTAATCAGGCAATCATAAGGACCAATCAGGCAATCATAAGGACTAATCAGGCAATCACAAGGACCAATCAGGCAATTATAAGGACTAATCAGGCAATCGCAAGGGCAAGAGGAAGGGCAGGAGGAAGGCTTCGTATTAAGGAACCGAATCGGGTTAAGGGTATTGGCCGGCCGAAGTTGCTAGAGACTGTTAAGCGTTTTCAAAGATAGGGGGGAAAGCATATCACCGGTCGGAACTCTGGGGTAAAGAGAAGCAGAAATACCTACGTTTCCATGGATAAAACCATAGGAATCGTGGTACCACTGCCTTCAAAGAGGCCTAACACATCGACAAGGCGAATGCCTTCTAACTGGGAGAAGAAACTTCGGCAAGGGCGTGGGGCTCGCGGTCGTAAGGCAAAGAGATTGATGATGGAAGAAAAGGAATTAGAGAGACGGGCAAGGGCGATTAGTAAGTGGCGATTTGGCCAGAAACCTAAGGCTTAATAGGTTATGTGACTAGCCTAGTAGGTAGAAGATAGAAGGGTAGGGGGAAGGGGGACGGGGGATTTAGTGTGTGAATAAAAAGAGATGCGTGGTTGAATTCGTATTAAACCGTTCTGACGGCCTTGGCAGAAATCAGGCGATACGGCAGAAATCAGGCCGAAATCAGGCCTCGGGGTGTGCCGCAAGTTTTCAGGGGAGGTGCCAACAGCGTCACCCTAGATTAAAACAACCGAAATACTCGCTAATAGACTCATAAAACGCCTACCTAGCGAAAAACACCACGCTTTTGTTAAGTAGCTATATATAGAAGTATCCCTATTATATTAGGTAATTACCTACCTTTCCTTTCGTCTTATTTAGCTCTTACTTTGCTCTTACCTATTATCTTATATCGAGAGCTAAGGGGGTATATCGGTATATATAGCCTATAGGCTAGATATATATCTTGAATCCTACCTACTTACTAAGTATTCCTATCTTGCTTACCGCTAGGAAAACCTAATCTTGTTTATCTCTAGATTCTAATCCTAGATTCTGATCTTTAACGATCGTGTTAATATTACCCGACTAGGTAAAGGAATATTCAACACTCCAAAATGACCTCGAATATTCTTGATTTCCTTATGTGATATTTACTATATTCCTTATGTTATAAATTGCACTCTGTTTCCTAGTTAGAATGAACAAGTTTGACATCTTTTTTATCCTAGGAAGAATCACCGGATATAGTAGACCATCTGAATCAACCTTCCACTGCTTGATTCTTCTGTCTGATTAGTCGATTGTGATCTATCCTGATTCGTCTCTCTTCTATAATCGTGGTACTAAGATTAGTGCGCACGAACGAATTCTACCAAGGTTTTATGCACTATACGCAATTCTAATAGAGTCTCTATTCTAATAAGCCCTCTTAGACTGCTCCCTAATAGTCTCTTAGGATCGTACGATCCTATTCTTTATAGATAGTAGTAGGTACGAGGGAAAGGTAGGCGTATTAGCCGTAGCCCCGCGTAAGGGCGTCTTTAAACGACATTACCTTAGAACTACCGACGAGTTAATAGTATACGTTGCCGAGCTTAACGGTATTAAAATAGCGGTTACTAAATTCGTTTACTAACTAAGGAACTAAAGGCTAGCAAGAAGCCTAGTAAAAATAGTTATTTTCTCCGATAGCTAGGCCTCTATCTAAGCAGTACAAAATCCTAAGCGATCGTCGGGCTAGTACGTACTCTAGTAAATTTATGACTTCGTCTAGGCCCTTCGATCGAAATAGGTATATTATTAGCAAACGCCTACGTCCGACACGATTCCCGTCGAGATCCGTTAGATCCCTATATACGTAGGCGTTCCTAGTAATAAAACTACTAATATTAAAGCAAAGTTAGCAGTAACCGGAGGTATAGAGAACGGAGCGGATTAACCGACTGCTAGTAATTCGGCGTCTAGTAGGTCTTCTAGCGATCGTGTCCTTCTAGCATCGACCGCGAAGCGCCGTGTGCGGTAGCGTATTAAGGAGAGATAGGTATAAGAGTAGGCGAAGGAGATAACTAGCAAGCCGAACTAGCGGTTAGTGAAGGCTCTAGATAAGAAGGTACTTTAGCTATTCGAATCTCTATCGAAGCTATATACCTCGATTCTGATTTAGATACGATTAATATATATTGTATTAACTACTTCTTATTCAAGATTAAGGCGGTCGAATTAGATTAGTGTTACTATAGAGAAGGGTCTTAAATACTAAGATACGTCTTAATATAGTGCCCGTTATACGCTAATCTAAGGAAGATCTTCCTTAACAAGGTTAGGGCCACTGACCTTAGGGATTCGACAGATTACGATACAATTATATCGCACTCGTAGGCCACCCGCTACGTAGCCGAATTCATGTTACAAACAGGCCTCCTAGGATAGTTCCGATACGTCGAAATCGAACCAGAACCAACAGGCGACGAAAACAACGAGCCAGGAAGACTAGCAGGTACAGGTAGTGAAGACGATAGGTAGGAGGAACGCCAAACCCACGGCCGACGGAGAGGTCGTGGACGAATACATCTACCACGCTAACACGTCAGTTAGCGACGAACGCCACTAATCGAGAACGAAGCAGGAGGATGTGGATGCCGAAAAAGAGGGAAAGCAGAGATGGAGATACAGAGGAGGCAGCAGGCCACTCTAAGGGTGAATCGAGGGATATATCGTGGGATTAAGGGCATTGCGGGCGTTTTGATACTGTTTTCGGGCTGATTTTATATGGCAAGACGCCTTTTTCCTATGTATTTACTGTTTCATGCGCGGGTCTGGCGTTCGGAATACTCTTGCTTCCGCCGGAGAAAGCGCCTGCATAGCCATTACGCCACTAGTTAGGCTGCATCAGGTTAATAGAGTGTTGTTTGATTGATTGATTGATTGTACCGGTTCCTGATATGAGCGAAGTAGAGCACTCCAAATCGGCTCACGAAGTCGCGACTATTCGTATAGTGTTCGATATACCGTATCACCTTGCTCCTTAGGGCTAACTCTCCTCTAGAGTTAGCTGACCTAAGCGCGGACGCCCGAGTGTATAGGTTATTGAAGTGGTTTGCTGCACTAGTAAATGTGTACACTTCTAGTTGATTAAGAAGATTATGCGGTACTTCATCGAGAAGCCAGTCAATAACTAGCTCACCCTAGATTCCTCCGTAGCTGTGAAGAATAATGACCACTTTCTTATACTTGTCGTCCAAGAGGGCTTATTTAATCACCGGGTAAGCCTATCGAACATCTTCTACTAGATAGGTAAAGTCGCGCTCGATCAAGTACTAGATCAAATCAAACACGATCCCTTAGCTGCTATGAAAGACGAATTAGTTAGAGTGTGTTCACTTATGTTAGGCGTATCGAGCTCACGTAGGATTGTGAACGCCAACGACCTCTCGACCAAAAGATTTAAGCTAGTTGATCGATGTTATCTTAAAGGCAACGTCACCTACCTAGAAATTTATTAGTTAGCGAAAATAACACTCCATAAGAGAGTCCTGGATAAGTCGAGGGATTATGATTAATGTAAATAATGTCGTACTCACCTAGCCGCTACCCTATTAATAAAGACCCAGTATTCATTAGTGGGAGCTAAAGGGCGTTTGACAGATTGGGAGATTAGAAGTCTGTTCCTCCTATTCAGGTACGTGCAGATCACAAAATTTACCAATATACCACACATGAAATAGGTGACAAACGTTATAATTGGCAACATTACACCAAAAAAGAAGGGAGATTATGAAACCGAGCTAGCCGATAATAAGTGCTATGTGAATAACTAGTATGATAAGGTTCTCGCGGGTACCCCTAAGCTCGTTTCGGCTGCTTAGCCGCGATAGTCTCAGCGGGAGGAGAATCCTAGGGGCATACCTAAAGCAGCGAAAGCCGAGAAGGAAATCGTCCCACAGCAGGTTCATTAGAGAAGTAGTATAGCGAAGTGGGTGATTCTCACTACTGCCGATCTGGGAGGGTCGGAATTGGAGGAGCATTATGTGGGAAAATGCGATTGTGGAGTTGTCTGATTGTTGTAGCGTAGGGCGTTGTCCTTGCGGCGAAATATTTACAGATTCGATAATTAGTTTTCCTCACTCGTGAAATGGAACAACGAAAGTGTACGCCAGATCTGGAATACTATCTAAAGTCTCGAATGCTCCGGGGCTCACATAGCCCGTGATGTATGAAATCCAGATTTGCATCGATCTGCATACCATGACCTTGCAAGACAATGATATCTCAGCACCGACGTCTCGCAAGACCTCTTCCTTGAATTGGATAGTGGAATACATGGTAGAGTATGACCGCGTGCGGATCATGGAGAGTTTGGCGCTGTACGTTCATAAGGATGGCATTTGTCAACACAGTTCCCCGGAGAACCATGGGTCGAGGACGACTCAAGGTAGCGCCCGCAGCAGATTTTTTCGCTGGTGACGCACCACGTCGGTAGCTGTCGACGCCTGTCATATCTCATATCCGAAAGCATCTGGCTACGGTCCATGGATTCTGCTGCATTACCAATCATACAAGGGATGGTACAATACGTACTTTGTACAGTAGTATCGCGTTCAATCGCCGGGAAAGCCGGGGAGAAACCGTGGAATGACATTCATCGCCACGGATTCGTCACTACTTCCAATTGAGAATTCGCCATTGGTTAAAATGTGCGACACGAGTGTCTCCACAGACAGCTGGTCCATGTAACATGCAGCTGTCGATAGCTATGTCAAGTGGATCTTGGCGGCCCGTCGGTTCGGCCCTTGCGCTTCCGTTGCAGACCCGGGCGGTTCGGCTTCTTAGGAATGAGCCGTAGGAATTCTAATGTCGGCAATTCTATAGGCTGAGAACTCGGCTCTGATAACATCTTCTGGGGTTTCTTTGTCCGTCGCGCTTGCCGTAATTACTAGCTAATCAAAAGGGTGTTTGTTGCTTGTCTTTGTGGTGCCCAGGTCCCTAGCAGGGGATGCCACCATGTCTGATCGCAGATCAGTGCAACCTAAGGCTTCGAATCCATTGTCTACTATGTGTGCTTTAAAGTTATCTTTGAAGTGACAGACGCAGTAATATTTCATGTAATCAATCAGTTCACGCAGCTATTAGTACTATAATAATACCTATTGACGCAGCGAATCCATTCCACCTTTACATTCTTTGCGCCCGTGTTAGCAATTTGCTTCCTTTGGGTCCTACCAAACATCTGAGTGAGAGATTCCTTAGAAGACCGTTTTCGACACTCAGCCATGGTTCAGCGAGTTGTCTTGGCTGGAACTGGCATTGCATTGCGGAGAGCACTCTTGGTGTCATCTGCAGCGCTGTCTTTGGAGGCGTTTGACGCTTGATTAGATAGTCTGTTGCGCAGTTTGCTCCAGGTGTAGGTGATGTTCGCGACGTTGGGCAAATTGGGGTTGTCTCCGCCTCTGGGAGGAATAGACTCCTTGTCCAGAATGCCCGCTTGAATCATCTCCTTGACACTTGGATCGATGACAGCATCACTGGGCAAGTCCCGTGGTGCTCCCAAGTTTGGAGGCAGACGACGCGGGATCCATTTGCCATTCTCCAGCTCAAGGCGGGTGAAAATTGGCAGGATTTCTGCGGATGGTATTTTGTTAGCTGTCTAGACCCAATTGAAAAAGAAGGAAAAAGAGCAAGAAAATGGAAATCATACCAAGGATCCACCAAAGTAGAACCATAATGAAAGGGGTACCATGACCGAATCGGAGGGTATCATGGGGTTGATTGGTCTTCCTCCGAAGTGAGAACGCATCAGTGCCAGGTTCCTCCTTTCCGGGGAATGCGTTTTCAGCTTTCGATACGTCGTCCACATTCAGAGTCTGGAATTGCAATTTACTCTCCGACCCCTCGAGGTTGAGCACCTCTTGAAGCATCCAGTTCAATACCGAGTCGGAAAGTAAATGCTTTTGGCCCTTTTCGAGTCCATAACCACCGCCGATGTCGCAGTGGTTACCGGCAAACCAGACCTCTTTAAGGTCAACAGGTGGGCCATTCGGATCAATGTGGAATAGAGCTGGCTTAAACTTCAGCCTTCTCTCATGGATGGCCACGGCATGCCGGATGTATCGTGCTGGTGGGTTTGCAATGACCTTGTAGGATTTGCGGAAAAGCGGAATTTCAAATTGACCCACACTGTTGACACAGTCGAAGAGGCCAAGGAAGTGGATTCCAACATTTGGCCGGCAAAAGTCTTGTTGAAATTCAACATGTAAGCCTTTAGCTTGTCATCCTTTTCAGTCTGAGGATCATTGCCACGAGATTGTTGGAAGTCGCTGAATGTATCCCAAGCAAATTGGACCATTTCCTCGTTTCCCTTCGATAGGAGACCAAGATCATGTATCATCTCAGCGAGGAACCGGGCCGTATAGGCGCCACGAGAAAAACCGAAAATGTAGATGTGGTCTCCCGGTTGATAGTAACGCATGACGAAGTGGTAGCCCGCCAAAACATGCTGCTGGAAAGAGGTACCAACTGCCTGGTCGACTGTATTGATGATACTTGACTTGACTTTGGGCAATATCTTCCCGCGTGTCGCACTGTTACCTTGACCTTTGATGTAGGTACCAATCCCCGCTGCCCAAGTGCTTAGCTAAAAGGATACGAACAAAAGACTGAGTGGGAAACTCACGTTGGTAATAATGGAATTGACCTTCCTTGTGTCGATCAAGCATCTGGTAGATCTTCACAATATTGGTGTCTGACTCATTGCCCTGAAAGTGGTTCCCGGTGCCATCAAAGCAAAGAATAATCCGGCGTGGGCCAGATGAAGCATTGGTAGAATTTTCAGTTTCGTCGGTTGCGTGAGGCATAGTGGGCAAGTATGGGCTTCAATACTGTGCCAAGTTGGACTTTGGTATTTGAACGAGAAGAGATCTTGGAAAAGGGTAAATTACAAATACTAGAGAGATAAAGGGAAGCCATTCCATCCAGTATATATGATTTGCCCGAGAAAGAAGTCTCTGACCATGCATATGTGCACAAGCTTTGCATGACGCCTAAAGACATGACGACAGGCCCCATTTGGTGATATTTTTACCTTTTTGCGCACCATCATTCCGTTTCCAGCTATGTGAACCTTAATGATCAAGCGTTGAAAGAGCAACACAATCTGCTATGATCCGTGCATTATCAGCTAGATTGAAAAGTTGAAATAGAACAACAGTGCCAGGGGTCGATGATCCTAGGAAACGCGGAACTTTCACATGGCGGGCTGCGAATGTGACATAATAGTCAAAAAATCAAGACTTGGGATTTTTGCAGCTCAAATCGTCTGTTCGAGACCTTTATAAGACGTAACGTCGTTGATATCACTGGCCTGTTGCATCCCTGCGTTTGCAACCCTCGAATCTTGATCAGCACCATGGTTGAGCCCTCCAATGTTTGTCCATGGGCTATGAGATCATCGATAATCCCTTTGGAGTAGTCTGGTAGGTGGATGATGAAGCTCAACACGAGTGAATAATGCTTAATTTTGTAACATCTGGTCTTCTATTGGCTTGGTAGTTAGCATGTGGAGTTCGCTTTGGACACTGGTACTATGTAGCATCAGAACGCAAGCATCGTCCCCAGGCTGTTATCGCTAGGAAAAGCCGCAACTGTTTATCGTCGACCAGACGAGGATTTTCCTGAATATTGCCAGAAAGGAAATGCCGCTGCGACCCAATGTTGGTGATGTCTTGGATCCATGACCAAATGCATCATTGTACGTCGAGGTAGAAAGATATCTACAGTCACCATGAACATACTTAAAGTTACAACCTATGTCCATTTTAAAAAAGAACTTTTCAATTCAAATTATTGAAAGGCTCTTGAGCACCTTTGATTCTTCCAACTCTCTGTTAATAATTGCCACTTGACATACCCTATCACAATCTCCCCCAAAATGGGACTTAGCGAGGCTATCTCCAAGGCATCCCCAGGATCCTCTTGGAACCCTCTGAACTGGGCTCCAAGTCTACCTTCTCCATCCAAGAGTGAGTATATGATATCATCGAAACACGGGACCGGCCTATGCTAACTCGTGAATTGAAGTTTCGCTTCCTGGAGTCTCTTCCCTTCCTGGATTGTCCTCGATCCCCGGGGCCTCTCTCTTCGGAACCAAGGATCAAGCCTGGTTTAAATCAATGCTCACAAAGTTTGGTCTCAGTGGAGTTTTGGCTACGGTTTTCAGTTTCTTCCTTTATGCCGCTTACTTGAAGTTCGTCAAGAAGGATGACAAGGGCGCCCTGGACTTGCTCAAGGACAAGGTTTCCGAATATGTCAACAAAATCCCTGGAATCGGCATGCTTAGAAAGGTCCCTCTCCTGGAAAAGCTCATACCGTCACCTGAAAGTTTGATATATGTGCCTAAAGGGACACAGTCAGCTTTGAGTAGTATTTCTGGAATCGCACCTGGCATAGCTTCGAAGCTCAACCCGGCCAAATGGAAGAATTTTAACAAGAAAAAGATCGCCGAGCAAGAGGATGATGAGAATTATCAGGCAGGAGAGCCGTACGGTGATCCTACTGCCATGGCTACGGGAATCGCCACTGATCTGAAGTCTATGGGACTCAAGGGTGGGTTCAAGGACCTTCGCACACTCTTTGAGGTGGCCAAGACCAAGGGAAAGCCTATCAATGATCGGGATATGACTGTAAGTACAAGTGTTGGAAGATACAAATGGGGTGATGAACATGATGCTCACCATTTATTATAGATGGAGAAGATGATTGCAATTGCGGCGTCATTGCCCCGTACCTCTAAGGCGCGAGGCAAACTTACTAGAATTATTATCGACACCCTGTGGAAGAGCTTGCAGCACCCTCCTTTGAGTTATATGGGCAATAAATTCCAGTACCGAACCCCAGACGGAAGCTACAATGTAAGTTGGCTATTCTATTAAGTTTCTATGAGTAGATTCATTAATAGCTATGATACAGAACCCCCTTCAACCTGACCTGGGTAAGGCTGGAAGCCCATATGCGAGAACAGTCCCCAAGATGAAGTACCTGCATGGTGTTCCCCCTGACCCTGGTCTTCTGTTTGACTGTAAGTTATTTCTCCTACCATCGAATTTTTTTATAGCCACGCTGACATCTCCAAGTGCTCATGGCTCGTAGCGATGATACCTTCAAGGAGAACCCAGCTGGTATCTCATCCGTTCTATTCTACCATGCGACGATCATTATTCATGGTAAGAATCAAGGACAATAGCCGTAAGTTCGGCGTTTACTGACATTTATAGATTGCTTCCGGACCAACCGTGTTGATCCTAGTATCTCGGACACCTCTTCTTACCTTGACCTCGCCCCCTTGTACGGTTCAAATCTCAAGGACCAGCTGAGCATTCGGACCATGCAGCGTGGTCTACTCAAACCGGATTCTTTTGCTGAGAAGCGTCTCCTTGGACAGCCTCCTGGTGTCAATGTGATGCTTGTCATGTACAGCCGTTTCCACAACTATGTTGCAGATGTTCTCCTGAACATCAATGAAAATGGTCGCTTCACTTTGAGACCTACCAAAACGGAAGAGGACAAAAAGGCAGCTCTCGCACAGCAAGATGAGGACATCTTCCAGACTGCTAGACTGTATGAATATTCCTCAAACGCAAAGCTTCTAGTACTGACCATGGATTTAGTGTTACCAATGGTCTCTACATTAACATCTCTTTGCACGACTACCTTCGTGGCCTCACCAACACCCACCACTCTGCCAGTGATTGGACCCTTGACCCCCGTATTGAGGTGGGCAGAATGTTTGACCCCGAGGGTGTCCCGCGCGGCATCGGCAACCAGGTCTCTGCTGAATTCAACCTCCTGTACCGTTTCCACTCTGTCATCTCTCAACGCGATGAAAAGTGGACAAACCAATTCATGCAGAAGATTTTCCCGCACAAGCCACTCGATCAGCTCACCCCTCAAGACTTTGTTGAGGGTCTTTTGCGCTTTGAGCAGAGCATTCCCGAAGACCCAGCAGAGCGCACCTTTGATGGGTTGAAGCGTGGTGCGAATGGCAGCTTTGACGACGCTGAGCTTGTTAATATTATGAAGGAGAGTATGGAAGACCCTGCGGGTCTATTCAACGCCCGAATGGTTCCCAAGGCCCTCCGGATGATTGAAATCAGTGGCATTATGACTTCCAGAAAGTGGAACCTCGCGTCTTTGAATGAGATGCGTAGCTTCTTTGGACTCAAGCGCCACGACACGTTTGAGGATATCAACCCCGACCCTCAAATTGCTGACCTCATGCGCAAGCTCTACGACCACCCTGACATGGTTGAAATGTATCCTGGTCTGTTCCTTGAGGATGGAAAGCCCCGCATGGACCCTGGTAAGCAAATTTCATCCACAACCGTTGATATCTGATAATTAATGGGTTAGGTTGTGGCGGTTGCCCTCCATACACTGTTGGTCGCGCTGTTTTCAGTGATGCTGTCAGTTTGGTGCGATCTGACCGATTCCTAACTGTGGTAAATGACCGTGGATCGAACATAAGACACCCAGAGAAAAAAGTGCTAAAAATGGCTATAGGACTACACCCCTTCAAATCTCACAGCATGGGGATACCAGGAAGTCCAGCAGGATTATGATATGTAAGTACTATTGCTTCCTATCTGTACCCACAAAATTTATTGACGTTTCCTTTACCCACAGCCTTGGAGGATCGATGTTTTGGAAGTTATTCCAGCGTGCATTCCCCGGCTGGTTCCCTTACAACTCGTTGCACTGCACACAGCCAATGTTCACTCGCAAGATGAACGAGCAGATTGCACGTGAAATCGGAACTATTGACCAGTACACTTTTCAGGACCCATCGCCTCCACTTACTCCCAACGTAGCCACCAAGTACTCCGCCGTGACTAAGATTCTGAGTGACCAGAAGAACTTCCGCGTCATCTGGGCCAAGAACCTCAACGACATGACCCCTGGCAAGAAGTACGACTCTTACATGCTGGGTGGTGATGCTGCTGCGAATACAGCTCAGAGAAACTTGGTCAAGGAAATCATGTTTAGCCCGCCTGAGTTTATGCAGCTGCTTTCTCAAACATCGATGCATGTTGGCAAGGAGCTCTTGGATGATGAGACTCTCAGCCTCGGCAAAGATTTGAACCAGCTTGATATTATCCGGGAGTAAGTCATCCTTTATCGCCAGTATCTTTTGAAAATGTGATTACTGATATGCCTGTAGCATTGCTATTCCTCTGAATACCCGTATCATGGCCGATCTTTTCTGCTTGGACTTGAAGACCGATGAGAACAAGGGAGGTAGTCTAAACTCTACTGAGCTTTATACGTACCTTATGGGTGTTCGCACTTTTGGCTTCAACAACTTCGATCCTGCTCTGGCATTGCGGCGCAGAAAGGATGCCCATGAAGGGTCTAAGGTTCTGACTGAGACCACCCTCAAGGTTATCTCGGGTGGATCAAACCCAGTTGGCGACGCCCAAGGAATCGTATCCAAAGCCACTGGAGCCATTACCGGGGCTGTGACTAGCATCACGTCAAAGATCCCCTTCGTCGGTGGCCTTTTCAGCAAGGCCAGCAAGAAAGCTGAAGCAAAAGCAAAGACTGGATCTTTGAGGTGGTATGGCCAGAATGTCGTCAAGGAACTTATCTCCGCTGGAAAGTCTCCAGAGGAAGCTGCCGACATTTGCTGGTTGACTGCTGTCGCTGGCGTTGGTGCGCCAATTGGAATGGTTTGTGCCCACTCTACTTCCCCTTGGTTCTATCTTTGCATGGAAACAACTTGTCTCTAACATGGTAATCTCCTCTAGTTTGCCGACGTCTTGAACTATTTCCTACAAGAGGAGAACTCGCAGCACTGGGAGGC